AATGACCGATTGCTTGGTGAGCGGGTTTCTTGGAGGGAAGAAGAGACTTTGACTTTCGGTCTCGGTCAGTTACAAATTCTACCTGTTTCAGATTCTGGTTATTCAAAACAATGATAAGGTAGGTACTGTGTAAAGAAATAATTATCTATCTAGTTTATTGGTTGTTCATTAAACATGAAGTAATCTCATTGAAAATCATCAGTGTTATGATACCCATTTTCAGTTTGGATGTAACATGTCATAATTACGAAGAAACATTTCAGCAAACCACAGTTCCAGCTTTTCCCCTTGTCACGATAACCAGCCCAGCAAGACAGCAATGGCCGATTGTTTGGGGAGCGAGTTTCGTGTGGACGAGAAAAGACTTAATGAAGTGTTGGACAAAGCAAGGGCCTTTGCTCTAACAAAAGGTACATTTATGATTCATGATACTGGAAAACTACATAGATGTCCCGAAAACTGGTTTATAGACAAGGATATTATTTCCTTACTTTCTTGAAATATCAGAATCTGAATATGTTTGAAAACATTTGATTTTTCAACGTTGTATGCCACAATCCCATATGACAAACTCGAGTTAAAACTTCATTTCTTGATCCATGAGGTATTTGCAAACAAACGTAGTGAACACAGATATGCCTACATATCTTCAGGTTCAGCACAATTTGTCAAAAATGGAAATGGCATTAGAAGTTTACCGAGAAAATCATATGTGAAATGCTGGACTTCTTTATTGATAACATCTTTGTACGATTTTGGGGTAAAACATTTTGACAAGAAGTAGGCATACCCATGGGCACCAATTGTGCTCCCGGATCTGTTTTTTATTAATATGAATCAGAATTTCTGCTTCCGTTGGCAAAATCAAAACAAGGAGTTTACTTTAAGCTTCAGGTGTATCGATGATTTGATATCGTTCAGTTACCACCAAAAAGCAGTATGATATAAATGAATTCTACCACACAAACAAAATACCAAAGATTCTTTAGAAGAATAATAGAATTCTAAAAAGGGAATCAGAAGGATTCCTTGTATTATTATCAAAAAGTACCTTCCTCTCACCCTCCTCGCCCACGTCAAAACCACCCCTCTCCACTGTCTTACAGATTACAATGACCAATGCACCTGCAACACTCCCTATTATGAATTATGATTACTTATTAGTAATAATTAATAATAAGTATTACTTTCAAATACCAAGGCATTTCTTGCTAAAGGCCTGCATGCATGATGATATTTAAGTAAAACTGGAACCACATAATTCATGACACGATTAATACTTAAACTGGAAACAGAATATACAGTAATGACTTTCTATTAGAATGTAATACTACATCCTTTTGCTGGTGATCGGTGAGATTAAAACATTTACACATATGAACTCGAAATGCGAACAGCTTGACTATTTTAATCAAACCATACGTTTTCCACAAAAACTTGTGTTGAACTTAAAGGTCATTCTTTTACCTGCCTGCTCATATTATTCAATTTGTCGAACTGCATTTCATATTTGACCACTGACCCTCGTTTTAGCACTACCCCCGCTTGTTGAATAGTATGTAAATTTCATCAACCACTTTCACTGTTAGAAGAAATATTTGCTTTCTTAGATTAAACTCCCTCCCTTTACAGTGTAATATAAAAGGTGTGAATGTAGATACGTATTGCAGAATGTGTGAAGAGGGGTGAATGAAAATGTTATAATTTTTTGTTTGTATGTAATGCTTACAATGTAATTATAGATAGATATGTTCCTGTAAATAGCCAGTTAAATGTAGTCGCTAATTATCATAATATATTAACTAGTAGTTGTAGATATACCTTTGTAAATTGTTCTAATTACATCAAAGAAGCTCTTGCTCATAGAAAAATGTTACAACATTAGCCATTTAATTGAATAACATTGTACCGTTACTCCTACCCTACGAAAATGTATTCTTTTTGCACGTATTGTACATGGGCCGATGGCCTACAAACCGAAATAAAAGAAGAATGAAAGAATGAATACCCTCCGCTTTGAACAAAAGTCTGGCCTCTCTTCTGTAAACATCAATAGTTTCAGTAAATCTCTGAATGACTCGGAAACAGAAAACGGCTGTCATTGGTCAATTTCCACGTGTGCGATTATTGCGGGAAATATGAAAATTTTGTTTTCCCGTCTATGTCTAATTTGACCAATGAGAGCCGTTTTGTTTTTGCCAGGAGTGACGTCCCGAGGAGGCGGAACAGAATGGATAGACTGTGAACACTGAACATGCATTTGTCTCTTTATGTTATCTTCCATAGTAAAGGTCTTCCCAAACTTCGGACATGATGTGGATATTCCATGATGGCCAGATTGGGGTTATTAAGGTTCATCTTTCCATGCAACTTTTTGTTTGATTTGGAGTTGAATGGTTTTGTACGTTTTCCTCTTTTCTTGACCCGTTGAGGGACGATGCTTTCTGTGAGTATATCAGCATGTCCAAGGATATCAGCTGAACGACTGTGATTTTGTGTGTTCATCATCGTAATATTTTCTAAAAATGGTGTCAAATCGCAAAGACACTTGGACGTAATGGAACTTGCAAGCAACAAAACATCTATTTTATTAACAAACCCACCATCTGTAGGTATGAAAAGGTTGGTGACCACTTCTGGTGTTCGCACCTTGCATCGCCGAGTTTTTCAAAAGTTTCAAACCATGTCATATCTAAAGCAAAACAGTCTTACTATCCGTCAGCTTTCATTGACGAAATTCAGTGAATTGATTATGTTTTGAGTATCTACAGCCCATTTCCTTACTAAGTAGGGAACGCCACCAAACACATGCACTTTTTATTTAGTTGAATTTTCCTGGATACTTTCACAAGACAACTGAAGTGCAAACTGATACACAAATACGTGCTATGGTTGTGAATATAAGAAAGGTAGACTGAGTAATCTTAGCTAAAGTCGCCTTTGTCACAATGGAGTAACCGACAGTGTTCAACCTTTGTTAGTTCAGGTTTTTGACACATTTTGCCAACCTCTTCTGCTCAACAGGTGAAACTGACTGAGTGTACAATTGTCTGTGTGATTTCAATGTCACCGAACGTGATAGCCTTCATGCACATGTAATACTGTACAGCCCAATTTAAAACACATATCAAGTTATATCACTAAATGGTGATGATTTTGCGTAAAACGACCTGATCATTCACTGCACATCCATTTGTCAAAACCTGGTATGGACACGATTCATCTGTCAGAATGTCATCACCATCCTAAGAATGACGCTCATCTCAGCTCAGTAGGTGACTGGATTGTGAGGGTTGGAATGTACTCTGAAATACTATTGTTCATTGTTGTTATTATTGTTCATTAAGAAAAGCTGTCCAGTAGGATGACTCACGGACTCTGGAAGGACCTTGTTCTCTATAAGACAGTGGAGAGGGGTAGGTTTCAGGCGGGCAAGGAGGGTAAGAGAAGTGCTCTTGCAGGAAAGCAAAGAACCCTTTTGTTCTTCTTTGGAACTCTTTTGTTCTTCTGAAGAATCCTTGGTATTCTTTTGTTTGGTATAATTAAATTATCTCCCACTAATAGCATATTTACCTTCCACTGATTTACCCATCTGACCGCCTCAACTGTTTCATGTCTAGATCTAGGCATAAAACAAACACTCTCCACCAGGCTGTGTGACAAAAGAATGATTTTAACTTCCCAACTGTCAATATTCCAACAGCTCCAGCCTTTGGTATTTACATTTCCCAACGTTCCCAATCGAGCACGCTCCTTTCAGCAAAATTTCAAAGAACGGCGTCATACCAGTCTTGCTTTGAGGAGCGTACTTGAAGGAATGCAGCTAATCCTCTTGTTCTTCTTTGGAGTTCCTTCGTTCTCCTTGGTATTCTTTTGTTTATGTGGTAGAATGTAATTATCTCCTTTTGATAGCCAATTGCCTTCCACTGATTTACCTACCTGAACTTGACATTAAGGAAACAAATGAGATCGCCTCAACTGTCTCATATCTAGATATACGTATAAAGGTTAAGAGGTAACAAAACACTCTTCACTAGGCTGTATTGCCTGCATTTTTGTATATTACTTGCTTGATAACTACAGCGAAACGTCGCTCATATAAATATTAATTAAAGAAGTTGTATATGCATAGAACTCTCCTCGTTGTTCATTACACCAACTTCTAAACGTCACTCAAAGAAGTTACTGTCATAGTACTTTCTTCTCAGCTGAGCATATGCTATCTTGCACAGAGATAATCATTGAGATAACAATTTGTTAAAACATTAGGCTATTTTATTATTTTAAGGATCTTGTTCATATGTTTACACTTGTTTCGAATACGTCTCATACGACTGCCATATGACTTTTTCTCAAACTGACAGGAATCTGTATGCAGTCTGAACAGCGAGGACAAGATGGAACATTGCTGGCTCAGCATTTCCCCTTTACCCTGTTCCCCAGCGTGGTGCCCCGGACATGCTTCCAGGAGGCCGTGGACTGCATGCTGGATTTCAACACACTCATCCATAAAGTAGCACACGATCACAACTTCCTGAAAAAGGCCCTTATGAAGTAAGAATCAGCTGTCATTATTCAATGCCTGTAGGCCTGGTGTAGTAATCATAATTACTTATAAGAACAACGTCATTGCAGGATCAAGCTGACACATTATGAAATGTCTTTCTTTAAAAAATGGTTATTTTGCGGCAATTAAGGATTTTCAAAACCAGTGACTTGAACCACCTGTGCACATGGAAATGTGTTAATGTAGCCACAAACTGACGTTTAAAGAAACCCTTCATCATTTTATAGATACGTTCTGATGATAAAAAATGATAAAAAAGAAAGCGCAGGTAGATACTATTTTATTATTACAGGTAAAGACAAACATTGATTTGGTGAATATGTAATTTATCTTGTTCATCTCTATGCACCGCATCATACATGGTTGTATCAAATCGATAACAGATATAATTTCACATCTAAATAATATCTGTATAAAGTAAACAAAGTAACACACCATATGCCGATGAATTGGAAATTATCCTTGACCCATGTCTTCCGTCTTCAGCAGAAAATGCAATTTATAATGAGGAAATAGAGTATATGTTGCTCACATTGGTGTATTATGCTCTTGTAATAGTTATCACTAGCAATTGGTGTATTCGTAGAGAGAAAAACCCCGTTGGAAATGATATAAATCATCTCATCCATGTCACCTCTGGATCTTGTGTCTCGATCCCTCATTTCAGTGTTTTGGAGGTTGATGAGTTTACACAAGGGTTGTGGAAGATCTACACTCAAGTGAGGGAGGAGGGATACACTCAGGTATATATGCTCTTAAGTAAATGTCAGCAATAAAACGTCTTTTAAACACTTTCATCAACCTTTGAGGAATCGGAAACGAAAAGTGTCTTACAGTGTTTCCTATTTTCAGCCCCTGTCATTGGGATTGTTCAGAAACGACTTCATGATCGATGTACAGGACCCTGACCATGTCCAGATTAAGCAGGTTGAGATCAACACAATAGCAGCAGGTGCAGGCAGTCTTGGATCATTGTTAGTTCACCTGCACAGGAAAGTATTGCATGTTGATGTCATAGTTGGATGTGAGAGAAAAGAAAAAATATTTCTTTTTGTTAGTTTATATCAGTTTTGATGTGACCATATGGTACATTGTTCACCTATAGTTGGTGAACATAAACCAGGGTCCCGTTGTACAAAACAACCTTAGTGTTGCGACTGTCGTACGTCTGTGTAAAGGTATAGGAGTTACGACCACAACGAACTCAACGCTGGGAGCGCTTTGTATATCGGCACTCCTGTCATGTGGTTATCCGTCCGTCAATTACACTCTGAGGGTTAGGTTTCTGACACTTTCAGTGTTTCTTAAAAGTGTTAAAGGTGCTGTAGTAATTATTTCTATGTTTCTATACCCTTTCTAAGATATACAAGCACTTTTTCTGTCACTCTATATCGTTGGTCTTGGTAAGGTAATAATAGTGTTTCTGAAAGTGCTAAGTTGTCAACATTTAAAAAAGGCATAATTTGACAAGTTTGAAACATTTCATTAATGTATCAATGCATTTACAGCTCGGTATGTCTATTGTGTTCAAGCGTATAGTATAACCAGAAATTATTGAGAATTTTACGAGTATGTTTAATTGGATTTGGTTTCATTCAAGAGAGACAACTCTGTTAATCCTTTTTCATTGGTTTGTGAATAGTTATCCCCCTTTGTTTACTTGCTAGCAGACGACATTTTCAGTGATCCTCAGTATCAGCTAAAGTGATTTCAAGTAGAACAGGCATCCCTTTGCCCACTGTTTATCGTGTTTTGAAAAATATTGCAAATGGATATGGCATTGAGCACCAGGGAGGCGCAGGTAAGCCCAGAAAAATGACTGTCGGTGACAGGAGGCGGCTTGGTATTCTTGTTTCTAAAAACAAACGAAGGAGTTTAGAAAACTGAAGGCTGGATATGATTGATAGAGGAACTGTGGCTGTCTGTAAGGAGACAATTATAACTGAGCTGCATGCAAAGTCGAGGAATTCCATCAGCGATCATGAAAGCTGAACAAAAGGAGCGAAGGTTGAACTGGTGCTTACAGCATAGAAATTTTAACTGGGACAATGTGATTTTCTCAGATGAAAGTTCTGTGCGTTTCCTAATACACTGAAATTCTGGACCAAACAAACTGAAAAACCTTTGCATCAGCGCCCAAAGTACAGTCCGAAATTTAACGTGTGGGGTGGCATATCTGTGTTAGGGGCATTTGAAGGGAATATAAACAGTGAGCGGTACACAGATATTCTCGAGGGACATTTACTTCCATCTGCTCATGTGTTCTATGGAAATTTTTGGATTTCGAGCAGGACAACGACCCAAAACATCGTTCAAAGCATTCACAGGCCTGGTTTCGGACCCAAAATATGACATTATGAGATTGTCCAAGCTATAGCCCTGACCTAAATCCAATAGAAAATGTTTGATCTGACAAATCTGGTGGTCCGATATTGGGACAGCATGGACCACGACTTTCTAACTTCTTTGATCAGTAGTATTCCCCACCGCATTGAACCCTGCATAGCTGCCCATGGTGACTTGACAAAATACTAACTGTTCACCTGTCTTTGAATCTGGAGTTATGTTCTGTTAATATTCACATTTAATACATAAGTAATGAGTGAAAAAAAATAAAAAAATACAATCTTTGAATTCTCAATAATTTCTGGTTGTACTGGATATTTTGATCTCAATTAATTTTGTCTGCACAAATCGTTCATCTATCAAGCGTCAAAGATTAATTTGTGTTTCCGCTGTAGGTCCAAAATGGTATCAGTTTAATACTCTACTCATTCACTCATTAACCTGAAAGGGACAATGCTGATTAGTATTTATACCTTTGTCTAAATCACATTTTCCGAGCGTGCTTTTCTAAAGCTTCATCCTAAACGTCTGACATCGCTGTTTGCATGACATTTGTGTTGTAGGTTTACCCTTGATATGGTTGGGAAGCATTACGATAAATGGGAGGTGAGTATTACAAAAAGATTAGACAAGACTGGTATGATATACCCCATGACTATTACTCAGATATCCCAGCGCTAAACCAGGTGGAGACGACTGATGTGTCTCTCATGTGTGTGCATGTGAATGAATGATCTATATTTCCTCCATTTGTGCAATTAATATACATATTATGAATACTAATAGAGATTATATCAAATCATATTAGATTGAAAATGACTGATTTTTTAGGAGGTAATGTTAATAAAAGTAGTCGACAGTGACGTAGAAGTGCAGGTGTATGAAGTTATGAAAGTATCTCCTCCAGGTTCAGGATAACGACGCTTCTCTGGGAGCAGCTTTGGGTTTACTGAAGGCGTGGGAGTTGTATGGACGGAAACAGTAAGTACTCTAAATGTCGTGTACTGGTGACATCATATACCTTTGTGAAAGTCTGGCATGAATAACAATAGTTTAAATGATGAGATTTAACACACTTACTTTTAGGGGTTCCTTTATTGTATGGAAACAGTCCTTTTAGTCTCTTCTGTGTTACTTTCCCCAGGGCTGCCATACTCTTTGTTGTGCGTGAGACAGAACCAAAGATATTTGATCAAAGGCACCTGGAGTTCAAAGTCTTCTCTCTCAACCCCGCGGTTCGGGTTCTACGTCGTACTTACCTGGATATCAACAACGGCGCCTTCTTGACAGAAGATAGGAGACTGGTGGTGTACGTGATCACAGACATAGTATCTCCAGCAGACATCATGCTTTTATTCATCAACTTACAGAACCCGCCACACAATTATTGAAGCACACCTTCATATCAGCAAAATGCCTTAGTGATATTTGTTGAAGGTCACAGCAGGTTGACATAACAAGAATCTATGTTTGAGGGATTATAAGGCATTCCTAAAACTTGAAACTTGAATAAATGCTTGTCAATATTCCAGGCTTCGGATCCGAAAACTAAGACCTATTCATTAAACAATACCCTAGCGATGCCTATGATAATAATGATATTGATTCTGGGGTCCATGCATGGTGTTAACACGAACATGGAAAATTATGCTTTCTTTGGAATAGGCCCATATACAGCCATATACAGCCTCAGAAGAATTCCAGCCAACAAACACGATCTTGTCCTTTTTGATTACGCCAATGAATATATTTATATCATTGAATTTTCTGTCATTTTCTCTCACGTAATTGTCAACTTTTGGGAAAAACATACTAAATATGCGGACCTCGCCTTTGAAATGTCTCGCTTGCATCCAAAGTACACTGTCGTCAGGCTCCCTATTGTTCTTGGTGCCATTTTTTATACCTACTGATCTCTTGGCGCAGATCAGGAGAGTGCCCGGGTTCTCCACTGGGAGCACAGCCTTTCAGACACTCTGGTTAATGCAGAAGGCTGCAGTGTTGGGGAGTCTACATATTCTCTGGAAAATTCTTGGTGGGTTCGACTTGGTGGGGGCTTTCAAGGAGAAGTCCCACTCGCTGTCTGGGCTGCATGTAGATGGGGCAGGTGTACCTGAGCTGAGCCTTACAACCTGACTGTGCCCATTCTCTTCCCACAGAGGTCAATCTTCCTACGTAACTTCTAATACGGCCCTTTCATGGTGTGAGCGTTCAAGACTCGTGATTGGAGGTAATCAGATTTAGTTGTGCAATCAGCGACGTTGTTTCAAAAGTGATCATTCGCAAGGCCTCGGTAATTTCCGTATACTTCGAGAAAACTAAACGTCTTCCCCTGCGCGATGCGCAAACGTTTCTTCTAGACAGAACTCAGTCATGTTATGGTGGATCAGTGGTGTCTCCATCGCCCTCGTTGAAAACGAACAAGCTAGCCATTAAACGTCTTGTGTGTAACATCAACACACGTCCCCGGTAGATGGGGGGATATTTGTGGCCTCACATTTGCTTGTGTTAGTCAAGTTGAATCTAAGTCGATATAACACGTGTTCTGATTGGATAGAAAGAAGGGAGATAATTCGTGTTGCGATCTTTTGCCGCTAGGGTATTTTACGAGAACCGGGAAATATGGCCGTATTAGAACAGAGGTTACGTAGGAAAATATGACAAGTAACCTCTGTGGGAAGAGAATGGACTGTGCCAGGATCACCCAAACCCTCTCTGCTGCATTTTCATTTTCATCTGTAAAACATAATAATACATATTCCTATACCCAGTATACTGTAGATCCTACCTATAAACTACTATTGATTGAGGCATTTGCAAAAGCATGTATTTCTTTCTCTAGTGACGGAGATGAAGTGGCACCAGATGATTTTCCTACACATAAGGTATGCACACGCTTACGTATTTGTGTATGTTGAAACTCTGGTTAAACATTATACATTGAACAATCATCCTCTCAACTCATTATGTATGTCTCAGATAGTTCAGAAGTAGTATTTCTATAGTTGTTTCATTTTCACTTCGCCAAGGTTTAATAATAAGTAAAGGATGCTGCTGATTTTTATCATTTCCTTCATCAAGAAGGAATACAACATGGTAACGTGTATATAATGAGTGATTACCATACTAGCTACTGTTTTAGGAATGGGATGCAAGGCTAAAACTTGAACGTTCAATGGCAATCAAATGTCCCTCCATTCAATATCATCTGTCTGGGACAAAGAAAATCCAACAAGAGTTAACCCTAAATGGAGCAGTGGAACAATTCATCAAAGACCCAGCTGCAGTGAAGAGAATCCGAGCTACATTTGTGAAGCAGTTTAGTTTAGACTTGGTGAGTACTTTACGTGATTTTGATGACGATACAACCAAATCTACAGAAGAATACCACACATTCAACTTTTCCTGAAAACCGATTGTCGCACAAGTAGCCTAAATTGACCAAAAGTTGTCTAAGAAACAGCTTTCCAAGAACCATGCACCTGTTAATGTTTCACTCTCTCATCTGTTTAGGCAAGCCATTGATACATCACGACGATATCACTCTTTGGGCTATACAGACTTTATATGAAGTCCAGTTGTATCATGTATATCACTCTTTTCTCGATGCCTCATTAGTTGTATGAGATTGAGGTATGTCATGTATGTGTAGCAAGTATATCAGTAGGTGATATCTAGTATGATGTATATACTAGTATACTACAACCAAAAAGTATGGGAACACCATACAATTTGATAGTCGTATATAAACTTAAACGTGGTGAAGTCATTTATTCTCTAAGATAAATGCAACTTTTTGTGTGCTTAATGGGCACTTTAAACAACATGTTGGAACATGCAGTGAAGCAACTGACTTAATATTCGTTGAGTTTGAGTGAAATGAAACATTGTCAAAAACAGCGAAAAACAGGGGTGCTGAAAAACACCAGCATTATGGTTGATTCAAACGCCCGAACACAACAGCCTAGTGCATGTGGAAGACAGACTTCCCATGCAGCTTGTGGCAACGTTTCCTATAATAGAAGCTACAGATAGTATTGAAGCATCACAACTTTTTCACCATGCCACAACGCAGATCGTTAAGCGGCCACGACAGAAGCAGGGCTATTGCATCGTTGCAGGATGGTGAATACATAAAACGTGTTGCTCGCTGTCTTCAGGTGTCTCCCTCTGTCCTTCACAGACTGAGGGACAGGTTAAAGGCCACTGGCACAAACAGCACAAACCCCACTCTGGAAGACCCAGAAAAACATCAAGGGCAGATGACCGATATGAACTTTAGGGTGTTCCCATAATTTGCTTTGTAGTATATAACAAAGATTTCGATCTATGTTGTCTGTCTGTATCAAGAATATGTCATTCTCTATGGTGTCTAGGGTGTAGAAGGGGATAAAGGCGTGGAGTTGGGGAAGACTGACACAGACATGTACGTGCTGAAGCCACAGAGGGAAGGGGGAGGTGAGTCTTCTACCTCATATATTAGATAGTACCTACTTGACGTACTATTGCATGGTGACAATAAATGGATTGTCTGGTCCCGACTCGACCAACACCGTACAGCTGTAATACTGTTGAAACAAATACATACTCATGATATAGTCTGAATCGACTAAGCTTTTAGGGAAGATTTGTTATAGAAGTGAAAATGGTTTTGTCGCTTCTATTCAGAGGCGTCTGTCGTTTCATCAAATATGTATTTATGACTCCTTAAAACAAACATAAAAGATGTGTTGTGTGCAAAGAGACCGACCTTTACTCCTATACCTCATACCACCCACCGGAATTTAAAGGTTGTACTAAAGAATAAGGAGAGAAATACTATTGCATTGATAACTCATCATGATGCCTAACGTTCTGTGTGTGATATGTCTTTTTTCTCCTGCCAGGACACAACCTGTATGGAAACGACATCAGAAAATTCCTGGAGACACACCAGAATTCTACGGAGAGGAATGCCTACATCCTGATGGAGAGGATATTCCCAAAGGCACATAAGAACTATCTCGTCACACCTGGGAGACCTTTGCTCCTGTCTGAAGTAACTAATGAACTAGGGATATTTGGAGTGTACATTGGGTTGGTATAGTTGTTCGAATCATTGATACCTTTTCACCAGTGGATGTAGTTTGCACTTTAGATTTCACATTCTTTGTAAAGTAGAAATTCTATGATTTCGGGAGGTTTAGTTGTTTCGGGTATTCACACCCATTTTACAAAACACCAAAACAACCCCCCCCAAAAAAAAAAATAACCGGCTATTATTTACAGTTTACTAAGAGTGTGTAATTCTGAAAACTGAATGATGATCATTTGCTTGATAACGGTGTTAGAAGCTACACCGAAACGTCGCTCATATTATATATATATATATTATATTAATGAGGTATGTCCAGGACTCCTTGCTTTGATGATACACGAGAAAATGAATTTTTAGATCGGGTAGCTTGATATTTTGTTTGAGTTTTGTTTTGCGATGAGGTTGTTGGCCAGATTTTGTTGAGTGGTAATGGTTATGATGTGTCTTAATGACTTAAGTGAGAATCTGATGATGCACGTGTGTTTTGGTGTGATGAAGTTCATGTTTAATCTGAAGTATCTGATGGTTTCTGTTTTGTCAGATCCGCCACTGAAGAGAAGATCAACATGCAGTGTGGCCACATGCTAAGGACGAAGCTGCTTGGGACAGACGAAGGTGGTCTCTGTACTGAGCATGCGTGTCTTGACACACCTTTCATGGTGAACGACGAAGTGCCTGTCTATTCTGTAATACCTTTGCAGTGACTTGTATGAATATATAAACTTACTTAACTTTACATGACAATACTTGCTTTTATCTGACTGTGTTTAACCAAAAAACACCAAACATATATTTCTATCGAAATTGTCTGTTTGTAACCCAAAAGACATGTTGAAAGGTAACAAATGGTGTGTGGCGTGGATCCACGTTTTACCCACCGAAGAGAAGTGACAGATATAAAGTATAGATTAAGTAATGAATATCAAAATAAAAGAAAACAGAAATTGTTAGGAACACCTAGGGTAAAACGTGTCCCCAGTATACAATTATTTGTGGTGAGAAGAGTGTAAATCAGGCAAGGTGTTTGCTGTGAGTTGTGCCCCGGGGTTGTTGATGAACAGTAATAGATTTTTCGTTGCTCCAACTCATCTCTTCGATTCCAACATCATCCAGACGGATGTTTCGATAAAATCGGTTCCAGCTGCTCAAACCAAGTCCTGCACAAAAATAGTTCGGCACATATTGCTTTTGTTGGAATTAAATTGCTTAGAGTTTTGCAGCACATTTATTTTCCTGTGATGAGATGTTATAAGTGGAAAGTATGAATAGATTCGAGACATTAGAACCAATCGTCGGTTACACCTAAGTGGGTTGTCAGTCCAGATTGAAAGAGGTTATTAAACAACGATATTTTATTGGCTATTGAAAAATGAGTATCTATCGATCTGTATTCCCTTTGATGAAAGAAATACTGTCAGTCATGTTTTTATTGGTAGCATATAATTTAAGACTGAGGGTGTCTCTGTGTCCTCGACGGGGGTTGAGGTAGTATAAACTTACTGTCCACTAGAGAAGGTATCGTAAGTCCAATGCCATTAAAAATATAAATCCTGCTTGGGTGACAAGCAGCATACAGCAGGAATATTGCTGGTCACCATGCTCCCTGTGGTAAGTAACTGTGGTGATCTGCCTTTGGTTGCTTGGGATCAGTGCCTGTGGTTATCTTGTATTGTCAAATATTAGTCATAGTTAGTGAGTGAGTTTGGTTTTACGCCACTTTTAGCAATATTCCAGCAATATCACGTCGGGGACACCGGAAAATGGGCTAAACACATTATACCCATGCGGGGAATCGAACCCGAGTCTTTGGCGTGACGAGCGAACGCTGGAACTACTAGGCTACCCCACCGCCCCAAATATTAGTCATAAAAGAATATTGCTCATATTCTCCTTACATCACATAATTATACAAATAGTGATTTGCTGGTAGTTATATTGTCAATCGTTGATTATACCGTGCTGTTTATGTTATATGCAAGTACAACATTTACCGTACAGGTAGCTGCCGATGTGAGTGAAGACAATACTATATAAAACAGGCTATGCAGATCACAATGATAGGCACTATGGGGACTTACAGTACATTTCCTACCAGTATAGACCCCGGCCTTCAGATGTTAGCAATTGTAAACATAAATTAAAATAACATATATACTACTATCAAAGATAGCGGTAGATCTTAATTCAAATTTGAATATTTTTGGACTTATGTACCCTCCCAGAAGGACAATAATTTTACAATACTTTAACCCCCTTTGATGTACAGCCACTAACAATTTCAGTTGCTAATTTAAACTACCAGTTATAAAAAATACATCTATCTACAAAAGATATCAATCACAATGTTTCAGTCAGTTCTATTTATTTTGACAAAAATCAATAATTTATGATAATTAACAAAAACAAAATAAAAAAACAAAATAAAAAAATATAATAATAAAATATAGTTAAATGTTTTAGACTGAAATATTTATCCGTTGTGATGGAAAATCAACGCAGTCAGCCAGAACATGCTTGAGCGTGATTCTGTCATAAAAAGGGATACAAGGAGTCTTCATGATCACCTATTAATATATATTCATGACTATATATCTTGTATGGCCAATGCGACATCGTCGCGTAATGACCTCTTCAACTCTGGACTGACAACCCAAGTATGTATAACCGATAGTTGGTTTATTGCTTGTAATTTATTCATACCTACTTGGGTGCCCCACTTCTTCTGCATTAGATCACAGATGTGATCTAAACACAGCTTTAAAATCAGAGTAATGGATGAGAGGTGGTGTCGCAGATTAGATAAGATTTTTTATTATACAGACACTCAGAAATAGGATTAAAAGACAGTTATATGCAGGGTTGGACTCATTAGATTATATTTGTGTCTGCAAAGAGACTTTAATGCGGCGCTGGGTAAGAGAAGGGTCATGTGCTTCTAATGAAGATTGGAAATGTATGTATGTATGTATGTATGTATGTATGTATGTATGTATGTATGTATGTATGTATGTATGTATGTATGTATGTATGTATGTATGTATGTATGTATGTATGTATGTATGTTTGTATGTATGTATGTATGTATGTATGTATGTATGTATGGTGGTGTGTATGTGTGTTGGTTTGTGTGGGGGATAAAAATAGACACAATTATTCATCCCTCTCCCGTGCAGAGATGACATGTATTTAACAATAGGCTTAATTCTGTTGGCAATGGCTGCTGCAGCAATCGTATTAAGGCCTTGGCTGTCGCCATGTATAGCTCCTTTCACTAAACTTGTGTTCACACCAAGGGTCTTTAAGATCCAGATCTTGCATTAGGTCTAATACCTTTTGTCTAGCCTTGGGACTGTTAATGTGTTTGTAGTTGTATGTGTCTGTTGATTGATCTTGTTCTAGATGCCAATCTCCACATACTATTATTTTTTTCATTTTCAAACTTTTCAACAGAATCTATGTATATATTTTGGGAAAAAGTCTGCATAATCATGATAAGCTCCATATATCACTCGTTCTCAGTTAACTGGGACCATTGCAGTCGCCGACTTTTGGCTGTAGGTGATTTCAACTTTGATATTAAATCTAGGTGAATCTGTGCAGATATTCTAAAAAACACTGTTTACAATCAGTATCAACCTTCCAAAAGATTGCACTAACTCATATTGCAGCGTCAGAAGCAAACAGTTGGTTCCATGACGGCATTTTTGCTATGTTGGTAGTGCGTATTCTTTGCATTTTAGCTTGCTGCAAACTTTTATCAAACTGAAGTTTTGTTATATTTAGTGTCATGAAAGAACCAAAATACATATGGGTTAATTTGCCCATGTTAGCATGTCGATGGTTCACCAAGCAAAACACAAAACTCACGTTTATATTATGTCGGTAGAGTCAGAGTAATTTACGTTACTTTGTGTTTGTTTACATCTTTTCTTGTGGTAAATCATCGCACAGACCTACACGATAACCTTTCTTGATTGGCCTGTTATATTCTCGATATGTAAAAACATATAGGTTCGTTAACATTGATCTTTCTTACAATATGGAAAAATATGCTCGACAATAGTTTAATTTTTTAAACAAGTAATCATACGTTACCGTTATAACTCAAAATCTAGCATCCCAGTAATAGTCTTCTTCACTGTACATTTGGGGCCCGGCGGTCTCGTGTTATACATGTGCCCAAACCAAGCATTCTGTATTTATTCATCTTGCCATAACATTATTCATTACCAGAACTAACTTACCTTACTGTAATGTACGCTACCGCCATTTTTGGAAATTTGGAAAGTCTCGTGAAACTATTGTGTTTTGTTGCCTGGTATTGCCGAAATATCAACAATGTGAATCAAACTTTGACAAGTGAATGTAGGTTTAGGTAGTTATCGCCCTTTATGTATAAGTAACGTACATTACATTGCGGTAAAGTAAATTACGTCGATGAATGCTTAACGATGTTAGTTTTCTATGCATGATATTTTCAATTCTTTTAGTGTTAGGAAATGTAATTAGGCATCTCAATATTCCATTTGTTGAATGGATTGTGATAGGGTTATATTATTGAATGTTGAAACAAACTTCTAATTGATGAGATGTAAATTAACCAAAGAATGAAGCAGTTTCAGATAGTATCAATATGTTTGAGTTTTATTTGAAATTCCTGTGTGAAGGGGGTTGTGGCTGAAATAATCCACTGAAATTATTAATTAATTCAATTGTGTGCATTCACGAGTGTTGGTAAGCACATCATTATCGTAACGTAAATTACTTCATTACCCCCGAGATATCCAGGCGTTTCCAGAATGGTTGAATTAATATGGTAAAAACGTTGTCATATCATTGATGAAACGTAGGTAACAATGCCAAGTGGATTTCATTTCAGATACAATGGCTAAAACTGCTCTCAAAAGTAACATGATTGTAAAGAGAGAAAAAAGCAAAAATGGGAGTAGCATACATTTGTATCTTAAAATGGAGATATATTTGTGTCGTTTTCATTAAAAGCAAATTCTTGCAGACTGATTATAGGTTTTCTTGCTGAAATAAAGTTTAATTGTTATCATAAGTGGATATCATCATTGAAATATATTAACAGTAGTAATTTACGTTACAGACGAATAATATCATTTTCCTGAACAACCAACAGAAATATTTGTACCATTGTCGAGTGTTTGTAATCAACAAGCTTTGCATTTTCGCACTCGGGCAGAAAACTATCAACTCATATTTCCATTTTTGATTAGTGTTGTTGGTTAAATATTTTACTGATATCATTTAACAGCTAAATAAGCAGTTCACAATGTTAATTACTCTATTTATTTATATATTAGATTTGAAGCAAATTAATTCTCTTCCATAGTTCGATGGATATATATACAATTTTGATCTACGAACTCCTGAGCAATTGGAATAAAAAGATAGTAAGCATATATGGAAACTGTAACGTAAAATACAAGACGGAATTGGTGGTCATATATTTGTGGACACACAGTGAGAAATCTGATAGTGCCTGAGTGTGAATATTTTGCAGAAAATTAGTTCAGATATTGTACTAAGTAGCGGATTTCATTGACTTTATTTTTTCACAGTTGTAGACCCCAATGGTCCCATTTAATCGAGAATGAGTGATATACTAATAGTAGTATACTTAAATTCATCAATGTTAACAGAAAAAGAAACAAAATTTTCATTGTCATCAGTAACAGTA